ACCTCCATGGGCACAACCTCCACAGGAACCACCTCCACAGCTACCACCTCCTTAGCCACAACCTCCTCAGGCACTACCTCCACAGGAACCACCTCCACAGCTACCACATCCACGGGCACAACCTCCATAGGCACAACCTCCACCACAACCCCGGCCACCACGTCCCTGGGCACAACCTCCACAGGAATCACCTCCACAGGAACGACCTCCCTAGTAACCACCTCTACGGCCACAACCTCCACAGGAACCACCTTCACAGCTACCACCTCCACGGGCACAACCTCCATAGGCACAACCTCCACAGGAACCACGTCCCCAGTCACCACCTCCACGGGCACAACCTCCACAGGAACCACCTCTACAGCTACCACCTCCATGGGCACAACCTTCATAGGCACAACTTCCACAGGAACCACTTCCACGGCCACCACGTCCACGGGAACAACCTCCATAGGCACAACCTCCACAAGAACCACCTCACCAGTCACCACCTCTACAGGGAAGACCTCCATGGGCACAACCTCCACAGGAACCACCTCCCCAGTCACCACCTCCACGGGCACAACCTCCACAGGAACCACCTCCACAGCTACCACATCCACGGGTACAACCTCCATAGGCACAACTTCCACAGGAACCACCACCCCGGCCACCACCTCCCTGGGCACAACCTCCACAGGAATCACCTCCACAGGAACTACCTCGCCAGTCACCACCTCTACGGGCACAACCTCCACAGGAACCACCTCCCCAGTCACCACCTCCACGGGGACAACCTCCATAGGCAAAACCTCCACAGGAACCACCTACCCAGTCACCACCTCCACAGGGACAACCTCCACAGCCACCACCTCCACAGGAACCACCTACCCGGTCACCACCTTCACAGGAACAACCTCCACAGCCACCACCTCCACAGGAACCACCTCCACGGGGACAACCTCCACAGGCAAAACCTCCACGGGAACCACTTCCCCGGTCACCACCTCCACAGGCACAACCTACACAGCCACCACCTCCACAGGAACCACCTCCATGGGCACAAGCTCCATAGCTACCACTTCCACGGGCACAACCTCCATAGGCACAACCTCCACAGGAACCACCTCTCCGGCCACCACCTCCACGGGCACACGCTCGCCAGTCACCACCTCAACAGCTACCACCTCCTTAACCACAACCTCCTCTGGCACTACCTCCGCAGGAACCACCTCACCAGCCACCACATCCACAGCTACCACCTCCACGGTCACAACCTCCATA